GAAGAGCAAAACAGATGCAGGCCTGTTCAGAGTCTGGTTTTTAGGACAGATGGACTTTTATTACAGATCATGGTCTGTCCAACAGTCTTGTAAACACGATGTAATCTTATCCATGATGAATATTTTCCCTTACATGAAGATTTGAAAGGTACAGCATGTATCTTGTCTATCAGTACGGCAAACATGCTATTAATCTGTAAAAATATTTAAAACTTTTACATAATCATGAAATTGAGATTCTCAAATAAACATTGCTTTTCCTCGAAGTCTGTGTACAACATTTCTGTAACATGAATAGAAAAGTGGAAAAACATGTTAGCTTTGATTTCCACAACTTATTTTGTCAGAGGCCGCGAGCCTATTTGGAATTGGTATACAAAACATAATCCTTCACAAACAGATTAACAAAAGGTGTACTACCATTTCTCTTGCACTCACGTATTTCAAGGATGTGGCAAGCCCCTTTGCTAAGTGTGGAAAATAAAATGAGTCCCTCGGAGAGGATACGATCAATGCCGTGTTAATCTAACCCTCAGCTGTTAATGATTTGCACAGGGATTCCCCTCGATGCTGTGGCTTCCACTGAAATATCGTTTTAAGAGTTGCTGTCAAAATTCCTCTTCTAATTCTTTGCTGAAAGGAGATGGAGTGGAGTGGATCCTGGGGATCAACTTTCCTTTTTTCTTTTCTGTGCCTGATTTTGATTTTGATAGTAACAAAATAAAATATTTTTAAATTTTATTTTCAGGTAGGTTGTAAGGATCTCTTATACAAAGGCCAGAGAAAATGAAATCATTTGCAAAACTTGGGGAAAAAAATTATCCGCACTTCATAATTTAGAATTGCTCTTCACCTACAAGGAAAAAAGGAGCAATTTGTTGTTTGTCTTCTAAATACAACTGTAGAAAAATACTCTCAAAGTCAAGTTCACAACCTTTTACCTTTCTCTTAAAGGGCACCAGAGTGAACAGGTTGTTAAGAAGTGTTAAGGAGAAGTAAGTGAAGGAAAAGAACTGGATGTTCTATCCATGAAGGGTGGGTTTGTTTTGGTTTCTTTCCTTCCGTTTTTTTTTTTTTTTCTCTCTGTCCATCTTTGTCTTTCCATTTTGAGATGTCTTTGCAAAAACATATATTTGATTCTTATTGGGGGGTGGATTTGTATTTCTAGTAGATACAATGTTTTAAGAAAACAATCTAATTTCATTTGTAATCAAAGTCAAACTTAAAGTAAAAGAAATGGTGAAGCAGTTATTCAATTTGCTCTCTGTCTCTCTGAGCTCTTGACAAATTCATTCCAGCTTAGTAAAATATGTGACCCACAATTTCACATGCAGGGTACTTCTCAGTTTTCAAGTGATTTTTACAATTTCTCAGTCATCTGATTTCCATAAATCTGTAGTTTAACTTTCTCAAACTGAGCTACAGTAACCGACTGGGTATTCTTAAGAGAGATTTTTGCTATAGGGTGTATGCACTCGCCAGAGAGACAGAAAGCAATAAATCACCTCCTAGGAGAATGACCACACCACAATCTCTTCTCCTCCATTCTCTTCTCGGGATTTTGGGCACACACCCATACGCACCCAGAATGAGTTTTAAGCCATCGAATCTGGGACTCAAACTGACGTTGATGACGTGGGAGTCCAATGACATAATCATTGCCATCTGCTGGTCCCCAAATGGGTATTTTTCTATAACCAAATCTATCTATCCCTTGAGTATGTTGAATGTGTTTCTTGTTCATTTTCATTCAAAAAAGATGTGTGATACATTTTTGCATAGAAAAACATAGAAGATTATGTCATGACTTTCTCAATCACCAGATACAATGAATACCATTTCCTACATTGTAAATCCCTACTTAGGATAATCTGGGAATCAGCTGCAAATAACTAGAGACATTATCTTCCTCTGGTGATGACTATAACGTTCCATCACACCAGTAGTTTCTCAGAGTCATAGTTGTTACTATACTACTATGTAATAAACTACCTCTTTCAAAGTAACACTTATAGAAATTTCACTTTTAATTTATTTTTTATCCAAACCATTTTATGCAATTATATAAAATTATTTCATCTTTTGACAGCTATCTTTAAGGTTTTTTAATATTTATTTTATTTATTCATTTATTTATTTTAATTTGACCAGAGGGAGACAGAGAGAGAGAGAGGGAAAGCAAGAAAGCAAGCCACCAGGACCAGGACTCGAATCATGGTTAGCCATGTGGGAGTGTCCAACGCCTTAACCACCACGCCACCTGCTGGCCCCCACCATCTTTAAGTTTTCATGTCATTAAAAAAAATCCACCTTGGTTACCACTGGGTGGTTCTTACAAACATTCCAAAGCAATGAGCAGTGGTCAGAAGCAAAGTTTTTCAAATAGTAAAAGAAGCAATGAGTGGGAAGATGGAATTATAACATTCATCAGGATTCCAAAGAACAGATTTCTAAGGGAATCTTCTCTCGCCTTCTGCCTATTTGGTATATCTTCATATACAGAAGATTCTGTCCAATCACTTGTCTCTCCTCTCTATATAATTTACTCTTTCTAAAAAGTTGTATGTCACTTATGGCTTTTTTATTATTTGACCCCCTTGCCATCCAACTTATTAATGTAACACTATAAAGATATTACTTTCTAGGCTTAGTGGTTAAGGGAACTGGATCCCACATGGCTGACTGTTATTTGAGTCCCAGCCCCAATGGCTTGAAAAACATGCTGGGTGCATATACATGCTCTAATTTCTGAGAGGATAAAGAAAAGGAGAAGAAGGAATTCTGGCATGACTACACCCCATGGTGGAATGGCTTCTCCCTCCCTCTCTGTTTCTTCTCTGATAACTGCACATGCCCTCTGATTAAAAAAAAAAAAAAAAGAAAAAAAAAAAACTTTCCTTTTTTTGAACATTTATCATGAACCAGACATCATTTCAGGCATAGAAGCTAAAACTATAAGGAAAGCGCAATTCTTTCTCTCAAATTGCATGTAAGCAGGGAAGATTGAGGGACAAGCAGGTGCACATCAAGCCATGTGATAATTCTATATTTGGGGTAAGCCCAAGATTCTGGTGGGTATGGTGAAATGGTGCCTAACATGGAGAAGGAGAATAAATAATGTTTGCTGAAGAGTTGGCTAAGAAATGAATGGGAGTTGGCTGCATGGATATCTTTCCAAGCAGAAGTGCCTATGGCCAATGGACAACGTTAAGTAGTTCAGTATGGGAGAACAAAGTTGACAAAGGGAACGAGAGTGGAGGGACCAAAGGGAGATGAAGTACTTTGTAGTTCAGGAACAATGTGTACCATATCATCTGATCAATCAATATGGAGCCAGTGAAGGCGTTCATGTGATGGAAATGTTGGAATGCCAATGGGGCAATACTAGAGACAGGAAGTGAGGAGAACCATTGTAGTCATCTGGAAATTTGTATGACCTTCGTTGGATAGTGCTGAATCTCAGAGAGCTAATCTCTGTAAATAACGCGCTCTAGTAAAAAAAAAAAAAAAAGAAAAAAAAAAAACTTTCCTTTTTTTGAACATTTATCATGAACCAGACATCATTTCAGGCATAGAAGCTAAAACTATAAGGAAAGCGCAATTCTTTCTCTCAAATTGCATGTAAGCAGGGAAGATTGAGGGACAAGCAGGTGCACATCAAGCCATGTGATAATTCTATATTTGGGGTAAGCCCAAGATTCTGGTGGGTATGGTGAAATGGTGCCTAACATGGAGAAGGAGAATAAATAATGTTTGCTGAAGAGTTGGCTAAGAAATGAATGGGAGTTGGCTGCATGGATATCTTTCCAAGCAGAAGTGCCTATGGCCAATGGACAACGTTAAGTAGTTCAGTATGGGAGAACAAAGTTGACAAAGGGAACGAGAGTGGAGGGACCAAAGGGAGATGAAGTACTTTGTAGTTCAGGAACAATGTGTACCATATCATCTGATCAATCAATATGGAGCCAGTGAAGGCGTTCATGTGATGGAAATGTTGGAATGCCAATGGGGCAATACTAGAGACAGGAAGTGAGGAGAACCATTGTAGTCATCTGGAAATTTGTATGACCTTCGTTGGATAGTGCTGAATCTCAGAGAGCTAATCTCTGTAAATTTGGCTGTAGCAAAATAAAATCTCCAATGGCTAACTATAGGATAACTCAGGGCTGGGACTACAGAAAGGCAAATGCGACAAACACCTCAAATGCAAAATTTAAGAAGGTGCCAATAAAATCCATAATCAAAATAAATAACATTTTTAATTAATGCAAAAATATGAATGAATGGAATATCAACATTATAAATAAGGACGGGAAATAAATTCTTTGAGGACATATATGTAAATAAAGTCAGTGGATTCTTTTCCCCTATACTTGGAGAAGTTCTGTTTTTTTCAGTTGAGTATCGCTGACCATCTAACTCACTGTGGCAGCCGAGACAGAACACCAGCTGATATGGATGTTAAGGCATCATCCAAACGACCGGGTGGCTTTCCTTTGTGAATCCAGCTGACCACCAGTTCAAGCAGCATCAAGGAAATGAAAAACGGAGTTGCCTGGAAAGGAAATTGCAGAGAAGAGATGCTATTATGCCTCATATGAAATCCTTCCACATTTCCTGATGAATCATTACAGAACTGGGGATATCGGAATTGGGAGACCCAGAGGAGATAATATACACTTATCCTAAGAAGATCATTTCCTACCTAATGGGCAAAAGTCTAATTATTGTGGACTTACATTAAACATGTGCTCAAATTCTATCATCCAATTTTAAAATGAAATCTAACCATAGATACAAACATAAATTAATACTTTTTTTTCTTTTTTTAAAAAAGAGCAATATTGAATCCTGAAAAAGACATGACTTTCACTCATTTGGAAGCTTATCATGAGTTTAGGAGTTTTCTAAACTGAACTCCCAAGAACGTATTCTCTGATGTCATTTTTTTCTATTTCTAGCCTGAACTGGTAAGTGTTATAGGAACGACTTTGACAGGGTGGGGAACTTCAGTATTCAAGTTCTAATTCTGGATATTTCCACTTCCAATCATAGCCAAGAACCAGAAGTGAAAAGTGCCTCTGAACACTTCAGAGTTTCAAAGAAAACTTGGTTTAAGTTCAAGCTTCGGAAGTCAGAGTTGGACTGAGTCAAGCTGCATAGCCTTCATTCTGCAGAACTGCTCTACCAAATTAAAGAGGAAAGAGTTTCCCTCGAGGTGGTTGGTAAGTTCAAAGTTTTAAAACAAATTTGTTACAAAGTTTCCTAATGTGGTACAACTAAAATATTTGACACCGAGCTTCCACAGTTAACTGCGCAATACCTGTGTCCAGGAAAACTTGAAAAACATTTTTATCATACTCTGGAGTGACATTTAAAGGAAAGAACTTATAGACAAAAGTGGCTATGGGTATTCTGTGGACATCCAATTCAGGTAGAAATTCTACTTTTCCTTCAGTCCTTTAAGAAGCAAGCATTTTTATTAGAAGTTAATAATCTGAAGAATGAAAGTAAACAAATATTCAAGGATACATTGACCTTGCTTATTAGGAAAACAGAATAGCGTCTTGTGATATGGTCTCACCTTTTTTACGTAATCAGGGACCTCTTCTAGGGTTTGGAAGGAAGTTTCATTGGGCTTCATCATGTAAAACATCATGCGAATTCCCTGGGAAACAGAAACATCCTGTTGGGCTTCTGGGTTCTTCATTTCTGCCCTGGTCTGATTCCCAGCTGGAGAGTATTTGTGATTCAGTGGTTGAAGCCAGAGGCTGCACAAGGAGGGTGAGATGTGGAGCACAGAACAAGCCCTTTGTCAGAGAACAGCAAGAAACAAAGCTCCGTACAGGGCACAGCCAACAGCATGCTCTGTGTAGAGACAGGAAAATACAAGGATCAAGTTCAGAGTTCAGTGGGCGCGACCTCAGGGCGCGTGGGGGAGGGAGAGGAGGATTCCTTCCCAAATCAAAGCTGCACTGTGCCTTTTGAACCTAGGTGGAGTAATTTTTTTTTTTTTTTTCACTAAAAATAGGCAAACAAAAAAGGCATGCTAGTGCCTTGGGAAGTGAAAGACAAAAAAAAAAAAGGTGATCACAGGTGAAAGTTCACTCTGAGAAAGGGGGTGGAAGTACAAAAGTCAAGTCACCTGAGAAAAAGGAGTTGTTTCTCCTCATTTTGAAATTCACAAGTTTGTAGTCCCTTCACAGAATCACATTCCCTGAAGGAACCGGGTGTTCTACTTCCTCAGTATAGAAAGCCAGTAAGCCCTGAATATTGCACTTGTTATTGCCTATGTATTTCTGGACCTGAATCGCATTAACTTCTGAATGTTTGAAAACAATGTAGGAGCATTTGGCTTACTACAATGTATAACCTATGCTGTTTAGCACAACCTTGACTAGTCACGTTTTCTCTATTATTCTTAGTCATTAAGGGAATTCCCTGGTTGAAATACGCTGCCAAGATGTTGCCGGAAGACCTTATCTCTGTTTTGCAGAAAGTGTTCAAGTGATTGTACCTTTTAGGTAAGCCAGAGAGCAGTTAATTGGTTAACTCAAGAATTATTGTCTGGAGCTTACCAGAAAAAGCTTCTTCAGTCTTTTACTTAGAATGGTTGTGATCATCTTTAGTTAGCACATCACCTTTTAAAAATGCCCATATAGATTCATTCAGTTATTAATACGTGATTATTATTATTTAAGAGGTTTTTGCCTCAGGGTGCATGTACTCGCTAGAGAGAGAGAGAGAGAGAGAGACAGTGACAGAGACATTGGGAGGGAAAGTGAGAAATCATCACCCCCCCACCCCCACCCCCACCCCCCGGGTAGGGGATGGCCAATCTACAATCCCATCTCCTTCATTCTCCTCCTGGGATCTTGATCATGCATGCACATGTGCCCAGCGTAATTTTTAAGTCACCAGTTCTGTTATACTAAGTCACTCCCACGGTTGGCCATGTGGGAGTCCAGTGATGTGACTGCTACACTGTCTGTTGGTCCCAATATGTGATTAATTTTTAGGAAAATAGAAACTATAGATAAACAGCAGATTACCACCCAGAGACTATGTTAACACTTTGGGATACACACAGCCAATTTTGCTATAACATAATGTATACATTCCTAAAAATAACCACAGTATGCAAAATTATGCAATAAAAACATAGGACTTACAATAAAAGCAAGATTATGGAACAATACTCAGAAACTTCATAATGACCCACAAAGAAAAAGAAAGATCAGATACCAAAAATATGATAGCATACTGTATGGTGGGAGCCCCAAATCTGAGAGGACTGCTCACAATGGTTACCAGTTTCAAAGAGCACACCCAGAAGTCCAGCAGGGTAAAACAGGAGTTTATTTACTTACAGAAACAGGACAGGATACTCTGCTGACGCCTGGGTGGAGAACGGTCCGTATAATCATTAAACACAGGCTTAGGTTGTACATTAAAAACAAAGCATTTATAAATCAATTAAAAATCAGTGCACATCCCCTGTCACATAGACAGCAGTCTAGTTTGCATAAACATTGTTTGAAGGTTACAATACAAGGTTAGCTTATTGATTAACAGAATCAACAAAAAATGTTTAGGATTTAGAGCCCCTGATCTTTTAAGGTTAACGTGGGTGGGGTGTGCAAACTCTGGAATGGCCCCAGCTGAAGGCCAGTTCATAAGATGTTTACGAGCCACAGCTGTGGCCTGCAGCTAGGTCTCAAGGAAGACAGGACAATGAGGGAAGGAGAAGAGAGCTTGATGTGTGGTGCCTACCATCCATACCTTCACACATGTACATGGTTAAGACATCAAATACTACAATAAATGTGTTATTTCAGAAAAGATCTTATATTTGTTTGTGGAAGCAGGTGCTATAGTATTTGTAGATTGTGAGTTATTATAGAGTGTTGGAAGGAAAGATATCTGAAATCAAACAAAAGTTTAACACCTTGTATGGATGCCATAGCTCATAACAAAGAGGCAAAGTAAGGATAAGAATAAACATGTAAGGGGTGTGTGTGTGTGTGTGTGTGTGTGTGTGTGTGTTTGTGTGTGTGTCTGCGGTGTATTTCTAAATCTTTCAATTCAGCTGGGTGAATCTATAACATTTCACCTGGTGTTTTTCACTAACAAAATTGCACATAAACAAAGGTGATAAGCTCAAACTATTTCCTAATACATTAATCCTATTGAATCAAACTTTCATCTCAAGACAAGTGTTAGGGCAGAATCAACCATACTTTAGTGACTTCCCATTACAAATAAATACTATGATTATAAATATTTAATAAAATATTTATACCTAATATCATTATTAGGTATAGTGTTTTACTACCTGATTTTGGTTTTAGGCTTGTTTATTATTTTTTGTTTGGTTTGGTTTGGTTTAGTTTGGTTTTGTATTACAAATGTGATTCATGACCAAAGAAAAAAAAACAAACAAACAACATAGTTATACCTAAAGTCAAAAGTGGCAGCATCCCTTCCCACCAATACACACATGAATCCCTTCCCACCATCACACATATACATCCTTTCCTTCAACTTCACAGTCATAGCTGCTTTTCTTAGTGGGTATTTTACTTTACCTGTTTTTTTTTTTTTTTCTACAAAGTGCTGTCAGCATTAATATCTGTAGAAAGCCACTAGCAGCCCTAAGCTATTGCAAAGGAGCTATGTTGTCCATGCCAAGGGCTGGAGTCACCTAGTGAAAGTTGAAACCATGATGGGCCTGTCTAGCAAAAACATGTTCTATGGAGCAGACCCAATCAATATCCAGTGCAGAGGGAAAGGAGAAAAAGTACAATGGCTAGTAAGCACTTGTGCTGCAAGACTTTACCCAGTGAGCACAAGCAATTGGGAAGAAAAATTTCTTACTTCAGCAATGTCTGTCTTCAGTCCACTCCTGAAAAGCTTGAACATCATGTCAGCTAGCAACAAAAAATAAAAAAATAAAGTTTCATTCCATGGATTATGCAAGGGAGGGTGAATTTAGAAATAGGAAAAAATCTATAATGAGCACAAGACATGACACCTTTTAGTAATTACGAAAAGCTTTCATCATATTTTCTCACGCATATGATACTAAGCCTCAATTCTAAAACCTAGTTTCTGAGAAGTGGTCATTGTAAGGGAAGGGAAGTGTAGGAGAGTGTGTAGTTATAGATCTCCTTTTATTTTGGCATCTAAGATTTCACACTAAAATTAAGTCTGAATTTAACTTTTATTTTTCC